ATAGTGACATGGATAGATCTCCTAACTATATGACTAAATGAAAAAATCATGTTGTAGAATATGTCATGTTCATGTAGAGTATGACATCATTTATATAGAAAGAAAAATATAATACTATGTATTTTCTGTGGAACATGTATATGTACAGGAAGTCCTGGAAAACTACTCCCCAAACTGACAACAGACATTATTTCTGATGAAGAAAAAAGAGAAGAAATCAGGAATGGGTGGGGGAGGGAAACATGGTCAGAGAACTTTCCTCTTATCTGTAAGATATTATTAAGTATATTTGTGCATTTTTTAATTTTTTAAGATTTTATTTATTTATTTATTTATTTATTTATTTATTTATTTGACTGAGAGAGAGTTATAGCGAGAGAGGGAACACAAGCTGGGGGAGTGGGAGAGGGAGAAGCAGGCTTTCCACTGAGCAGGGAGCCCAGTGCGGGGTTCGATCCCAGGACCCTGGGATCATGACCTGAGCCAAGGGCAGATGCTTAACGACTGAGCCACCCAGGTGCCCCTCATTTTTTTAAATTTTTTAAAATAATTTTAGGAATTCATATCCCTGAGGGTCTAGAAGACTAGATCCAAACAGCCAGTACAAATACAAAAGTTAGTGAACATCTCTTGTTTAATCTCAAAAATTCCTGTCAATTCTGTACTCCATAATATGTTTGTTTTAATATGAACACGTTTTCAATGTTTACTTATTGGTTAAATTATACAACTTTCTCACCACCACCATCAAGAATAATAATAATCCTGGTATAAATTTGATACTCCAAGATGCATCATGCACCTGTGGATTCATGGTCATACCATCATGTTCCCAGGGGTTACTTGAACCTTGGACAGAGAGGCAACAGAGCCCGGGCATCTGGATAGCTCAGTAGGTTAAGCATCTGCCTTCCAATCAGGTCATGATCCCAGGATCCTGGGATCACCCTGCATCGGGATCCCTGCTCAGCAGAGAGCCTGCTTCTCTCTCCCCCTCTGCCTCTCCCCACCCCTAGGTCGTGTGCTTCACTCTCTCGCTCACTCAAATTAATCATTCAATTAATTAATTAATTATTTGAAAGAGGCAACAGAGCCTAGTAGGGGCATTAGTCATTGTGAGGCCTAGAGCTATGAGGACAAATAAGATACCAAATAACAAGCTCTCAATAAAAGGTTTTGCTTGAAGTGTAGCATGGCCCTGGCAGGTGCCAGTTTGTTCTTATACATAAGGAAGTCAGGAGGCACAGGAAACCTCTCAGCAGCTGGTTGCTCTGGGTTCCCAGAGTCTCCATGAGGGGGAAGTAGTAAAGGAGAAGATTCTGGTCTTTGGAGACACGGGTGCTGGAGGAACTCAGCTCTGTGCTTCCATTTCCCCTTCTTACATCGCCAGGAAGATTCTGGATGGGCCAGGTGGCCACCATACAACAAGGAACACTCTGACTAGGCAAAGTTTCCCACAAACTTGTCACATCATGACAGCCTTTGTCTCAGGGACCCCCTCTCTCACTCAGTCAGCCATAGATAGGTAAGATCACAGGGTCATTTCCCCCCATGCACACAGCTCAAGCCAAGGTAACTTTATGTAGAAAGAACCTGCAGTGGCTGTGAAAAGACATTTTCCTGACAGAACTCCAACAAAGGGGAGCAAAGACTGAGGGCAGAAGCTGAAGAGCTGTGAAACCCATCCCTGCATCTGTGCCGAGCACAGCTCCCGCAGCCACCTCCCAGCAATGATGCAAACATGGCAGGGATGCAAAGGCAGGCCCACACTGGGGACACACAGGGCTCCCTGCACAGGCAACCTGTGGGGAAGTCCCCACAACCATCAACGACACTTTCACCCAACCTTCCCTCACTCTCTCCTTCACTCAGGGTCAGACTGGCATCATAATCTGACAGCCCCGTTTGCCCCCACATGAGCATCTTCCCTCATAAAACCCTTGCACGTTTAATGCTGTCTTGGCATCTGTTTCTCAGAGCACCTAATTCTTCAGGAAGGGGCTTTGGGCTCTTGGACATTGCCAGCCCGTGACAGGGGAGGGCATTGGAATGCACCTTGTAAAGATGAGCTGGTGTCTGGAGAAGATAGAAAATAGTGGTGTTTTGGGGAATTCCTGTAGGATGAGTGGGAGGCAAAAAAGCATTCTTAACAGACAGTTATGTGATGTGGTGGTGCAGGGAGCCCAAGAGGTCAGTAGGGCCAGAGTGTAGATGTGGCTGGAGAATAGCAGGGTATCTCAAATGCTGAGCCAAAGATCTAGGGCTTTCTCCTGCAGGCAACATGGAGCTGTTGAAAGTTTTGAGCAACTGGATCCTACCACCACATTTGTGATTTTGGAAAGATGAGATGGGTCAAGACTGAAAGCCAGGTGGAAAAGAGGAGGTTACTAGGCCTAGCAATAGGTCACTTGTCGCTTTGCACAGATTTAATGGGGAAGGAGTCTGAATATAATCGTCTCTATTAATGCTGCTGAATTTTATAACCAAATAATCTTTTTACTTTTACTTTACTCTAGCATGAAACAGCTTCTCAAATTAATCCTCTCTTTGGTGTCTGAGAGCTATTCCTCTGGGAGACACAGCCAGGAATGTGGCATGCCCCCAGCCAGATCTTGAGGCCTCTCTTACCCTACCCACACTTTCCTTTCACTCTATCCCCCAAGAAAATTCCCATATTGTCACCTGTTTCCAGGAGTTCCCAGGCTCTTTCACACACCAGCAGCAACATCCCAACACAGAGAGCAAATGGCCCCACACCATCATCTTCTCTCAAGAAAGGAGGGGCAGTCCCACCTGCCTGAGTCCCCAAAGGCCTTTCCCTCTAAGGAAGAAGAACTCTCACTCTGGGCCTCAGTGGTAACTCCAGAGCCCAAGAAATGGGCCATTGAGCTAAAACCAAAGAAGGTGTGAACCAGTGAGTAAGCAGCAAGGGGCCAACCCAGGAGAAGTGGGGACGGGTGGGGTGGAGGGAGCCTTCTATTCTCCACAAGCAGCAGGGCCCAGGCTGGGATTGGCATCAGGCTCTTTCTCTTGCTTGGCAACTTGAGAGATTTCTTCAATGTCCAAGACACTCAGGAAACATATTCCAGAGGCAAAAGGGAAATAGTTGGGGGGTCAGTTTATTCACTTAGCATGGGCTCTGGCAGTTTTTCAATGACTGTTGGATCTCCAGAGGAATACAGTTTGTGTTTTCTACTCCTGAGAGCTGATAGCTATCTAATAACCGATTCTGTGTAATGGAGAGTTGCCTGAACAGACCAGTGTCTAAGTCCGGAATTCTCCAGGTGATCCCACTTATAACCTGCAGCAACAGCATAGCCCCGGGAACTTGTTAGAAAAGCAAAATTTTGGCCTGCCCCCAGACCTAGTGAACCAGAAGCTCAGCACTCTGCTTTAACAAGTCACTGTTACATGCTTTGAAAAAGTGGTTTTGATGCACGCCCAAGTTGGAGAACCATGAAGGGAAAGACCTTTCTGTATGGTGGGTCTGGACCCCCTGCCCCAAGGCCACCAAGAAGGAGGGGAACATGAGGCTGAAGGAGCTACTTGCTCTACAGAGTTCTTCAGACCCCCCCCCGCCACCCCCCCTCCACCAGACACCTGACCCTTTTCACGCCTTCCCTCAACTTCAATTTCTTCCTGGAAACTTTGGGCTTCCTGGTTCCCAAACTGGGATTTCCTTACTGACCTAACTTTAGATCTCCCTTACCCACAGCCATTCCAACCCCTAAAACTTCCAACTTCTCAGAACTCTTAGAGTCTCCGGCCCCCCCCCCCCCCCCCCCCCCCCCCCCCGCCGTGGCCCTGCCTTCAGTCCTGACAACCCCTGCGCGCCCCGTCTCCTTCCAGGCCTGCAGTACCCTGCCACCCCTCCCCAACCCAGTGGTCGGCTCAGGCCTCCTCGCCCTCAGCTCCCACGAGCAGCAGCGGCTGAGCGTTTTTGCCCTTGTCGTGCCAGCACACGTCGAAGAAGGGGTACACGGGCCCGGGCAGGCGCTCGTGGAAGGCAAAGAGCAGCTCGAGGGCGTCGGCGTCGCTGGCATCATAAAAGGAGAGGACTCCGTCGCCGAAGCTTAGGTAGATCCCAATGCGCCACGGCCGCCTTTCCGGGGTGCGCAGTGCGCGCGGCTCCTTGGCTTCGACGTGCGCCTCCAGGATCTTGCCGTCTCGCAGCCCGATCAGCCAGAGGCCTTGCGAGGGCACGGCGTGCAGGCGGCCGCGGCGGCTGGCCTGGGCGGCGATCACGCCGAGGCCCCAGCGCGGCTTATCGCCCACCTCCACCTCCCAGTAATGCTCGCCGTCGGACAGCAGCTGGTGCGCCACCACCGCCACAGCCTTGTCGAACTGGCACGGGTCCTCTCCGGCCGGCGGCGCCTTCTGGTCCGAGCACTCCACGCGGCGGCCGGAGGGAGACAGCACCAGGCTCGGATGGGCCGTGCTCGAGTCAAAGGTCAGGTCCTTCATAACTGCGAAGGGGAGAGTGGTCAGGCCCCTGCGTGTCTGCCTCCCTCCCGCAAGCTTCTCCCAACCAACTTGGGGGCCAACGGGTCTGCTCTAATCCCCCCAACATCTTTGGGAGGTGAGACCCTCTCTGCTTCCTGGCTTGGGCCAAAGACTGGACCTGTCTGAGCTTCAGTCCGCTTGGCTGGAAAAGGCCGCCGTAACTGCCTCCTTCCAAGGTAGGGAGGACCCCGGGGGATACAAGGCATGTAAGTCAGTAGCTGAGGTCCAGGTCCCAAAGCAGGAGACAGTCAAGAAGCCGGGTCCTAGGCCGGCCCCCACCTCACCCAGCTGTGTGGCTTCAGTCAGTCTTGAGCCCGTCTCTGGGCCTTACTTAGTCTTGCCGTGGATAAAACAGAATCTCCTCCCACCCCTCCTCCCACAAGGCGGTCAGGGCTACTCCAGCCATGGGTGTGTGTCCTGGAGTTCTGTAACCGATGGCACCCCGCTGTGACCTAGCTCTCGGGGAGAGGAGGCAGAACCCTTAGGGGCCTCCCCAGCCACAGGCCACCAGAGTCAATGTCTGGCCTAGGCCCATCCCCAGGGTGTCTGTTCTGCACATCCTCAGCCTCCAACTGGCAGCCATGATCATCTCCGCCATCCAGAGGGGGCAGGAACTGACCCAGGATCACACAGGGCTTGCCAACGGTAAGCAGGGTCCTCCTCACATCAGTCCCCCACCCGTAAACCCCATGCCCCCAAAGGTCCTTCTCTGAGCACAGGTTACAAGGGTGCAAGGCAAACCCCAGAGGTAAAGGGGCAACAGGCACCTTCTTCGATGACCTCCCAGCTGGGACGGAGAGGCCTCTCTTGCGTAGCCAGGACCTCCCCTCAACCGCACAGTTACAAACACAAACCCGGAGACAGCCCCTCCCTAGTACCTGGCATCAGAGCCCGGAACATCTTCCTCCACACCTGGAATTTGAAGTCATCTGAGATGACAGGCAGCTGGATATCCAGACGGGCAGGCGGCGGTGATTCTGCCAGGATCTTCTGTAGCCTGGGGGTGGGGAGGTGGGGGCAGCTGTGTGTGGAGGGACTTCCTGGAGGAGGCATGGAGCAGGGGCAGGGCCCGAGACGTTACCCCAAAGAGAGGAGGACAGGGGCTGTGGTGGAGTTCCAGGATCTCTCCTGCATCACACCTGGGCTTAAAACTCTGTGAGAGTTTCTGTTTAGAAGGATGCAGAAGTTCTGGAGGGAGATGGTGCTGGATGGTGGCACAACATGAATGTACTTAATGCCACTGAACTTAAAATGTACAGGTCAAAAAATGGTTAAAATGGCAAAGTTTACATCATATATATTTTACCACAAATTTTTTGTTTGTTTACTTACTTAAGTGATCTCTACACCCAACATGGGGCTCAAACTCACCACCCCGAGATCAGGAGTCGCAGGCTCCACTGACTGAGCCAGCCAGGCACCCCCACAAAAAACAATTTTTTTTTTTTTTAAGAAGAATCTTCTGTTGGTATAAGGGCCAAGCTCCTCAGGCTTTCAGTTTGCCCTCACCTACCACAGTGGCTTCACCTTCTCTCCCTCTTACCAGTGTTGGCCCGCCTCTTCCCCCAGCTCTTCACCTCCCCACTCCTGGCATTCCTCCAGCGCCCCCTCTGCGAAGCCTGCCCCGGCCACCCCCTTCCCGCCCCGGCAGCACTGAGCCCCTACGGACACCTGTGTCCCCGCCCACGTCCATCCCCAGCGCCAGTCTGGGAGGTCCCTGAGGAGAAAGACCAGGTCAGGGTCAGGGTCATTTCTGTACTCAACACAAATGCAGGAAGATGGCGGTGGACGGAATGGGGTGTACAGGCTTGCTGTGATTAGAGGGTGAGCCAGCCAGTGTCCCTGAAGACTAGGGCAAGTTGGGAAAAGGGGCAGGGCCAAGTGGATCTCACCTGCTGGTCACCAGGCAGTATTTCTGGAAAGAGAGATAAAGAGATGGAGGTGAGGCAGGCAGGGGAGACGCTGAGGACTTCTGAGGATGGATGGACCACCGGGAATGCTAAGTATGGGGTCAGGAAGAATCAGGAAAGCCAAAAGAAACCCAGAATTTAAAGCCAACCCTAGCCCTTTACCTCTGTGTGAGCTATAAAAACGTACTCCCTTTCCTCAAGAGACCAATTCCACTGGGTAGAAGATTGTCCAAATAAACATACAAACCTACAGTGTCTATATGAATGGTGCCCACTTAAATTCAGTGTCCATGTGCAGTGTCCAACCTAAACAACCATAACAGCAGTCCTGCCCCCCTCCCCCGATGTGTGACCTGGCTTCGTCCTCTCTGGACCTCCAAGTCCATGTCTGACAATGGGACGAGGTCTCTAGGCCCCAAACCCTGGCTGAGAAGCAGAGAGGGAAGGTCATCCAGTGCTCACCATTAGGAACTCAGTCTGGGGCTTGTCAGCCACGTCCTCCAGGACCTTCTCCATTTGCCGTAGCTGCTCCAGGTAAGAGTTCAGGCTTCCCAGCTCCCGCCGCAAGGCGACCCCTGCCTCAGCCCGCACTCGCTCCGCCTCCCGGTCCAAGGAGCCCTCCAGTGCCGCCAGGAACACCCGCATCTTGCCCAGCTGCTCCCCGACAGCCCCCCGAAACTGACGCACCGTCTCCTGGGGGAGCAAACAGGCAAAAGCAATGGGCTGGGAGCCCCAGGCCGATGCCCAGTCCCCTGGCCCTGCTGTGCTGAGCCCCTCACCTCCACCTCCATCAGCTGATGTTCCAGCACAGCCACACTCTTCTCCTTGCGCATGCACGCCTCCTGCAGCTGCAGCTTCTGCTGCGGCAGTTGTGTCTGAGAGGGGGTGAAGCATAAAGAAGTGAAGGGGCGGCCCCCGCCCCCCATGTGCTGCCCTAAACCTGCCCTTTCTGGCTCAGCCTCAATGCCGGCTCATCCTCCAGTCAGGTGGGCATCTCACCATTCCCCGAACTCGTGTGCAGATCTCTAGGCCCTCGCGGGCACGGGTCCTGATGTCGAGAACGCCTTACCCTCCCACTGCCTAGTTAGGGAAATCCTCCCTGGCCTCCTTTCCCTGACCCCACACCCTCGGCCGTTAGCACCCTTAGCACAGGTCTTTGTGAGGGTGACAAACAGAGGGATACAGCGCTGACACAGCAGGCCTCCTGGAGTGAGTGTAGGATGTATGAAGAAGAAATGCAACCTCCTCCTTTCCCTGGGCTTTACCCCATCCTTAAAAGCAGAACAATAACAAAACACCCCAATCTGCCTTCCTACCCCCCCAAGGGCTGTGGGGGCAGGCAATTTAATAAAAATTGCTGCTGTGTTGGGGCACTTGGCTGGTTCAGTCGGTACAGCATGACTCTTGATCTCCTGGTGGGGAGCTCCAGCCCCACGCTGAGGGTAAAGCTTACTTTAAAATATATATATATATATATATATATATATCTGCTGTGTCTACCAAACAGATTTGTGGGCAGAATCCTACCCTAGGCCTGCCAATTTGTGAGTCCTGAAAGGCAGGTGTAGGGAAACTCTTAAGAGCCCCTGCCAAAGTCACTTTTTGCCGGGAAAGTGTATGGCCCTGCAATCAGACGGTCCCAGTCCCTCCTCCATGGCTTCCAACCTCAGTTTCCTCTTTTGCAGAATGAGAGCAGTCTTCCTCACTTCACCCGGGGTTGTGACAGATCTGTGGCCTCCTCCCCACTCCGCTGAAGGGAAACTGAGAGACCCTCTAGGCTCTGTCTGCGGATGAGTCCCCGTCTTAGCGGAAGCCCCAGGATTAGCCAGCCCATGGCCCCCGTGGCCAGCCGCCAGGTCATGCTCCGGCCTGCTGCAAGACAGGGCAGACCTGGTGGCTCTTAGCATGGAGCCATCAAAGGCTCAGTGGCGACAGGGCTAAGCCATGAGGAAGATGCGTGACGCCACCCTGGTTGCACGGGGAAAACCTGACCGTGGCTGAGTTCAAGAAGTTCAAACTGAAGCTGGAAGCGGAGCCGCTGCGCCGAGGCTTCCAGAGCATCCCGCGGGGCTGCTCCGGCAGCGAGATGCCCCACAAAGCTGGTTGCCCTCTGCGGGAGCACTTCTGCTCTGAGCCCAAGGCAGTCAGGCTGCGCGACATTGGCATGCAGGAGGAGGCAGCTCGGTTTCAAGGGGTCACATCAGTCCCCCACTCCCGGCAGATCCCATTCAACCACTCTTGAGTCCTGGCACATGGTCTCTGGACACAGCCCCTCTTCGTCGCCAAGGACCCAGGTATCCAGCCGCGCGCCCCAGCCTTCCTGTCTCCCTCCTCCGTCAGAACCTTCTTGGGTTCCTTCTTCAGAATTCCTGCCAGGCCCTCTCTGTGGCTTAGGGCGGGGCTGATGTGGATCCGGGCAGAATGTATTCCGCCCCATCTGTTCCCTCAAGGCTCCTGGGTCCCCTGGTGCTCTGTTTCATGTCGGGGACTCTCTTCCCTCTTGGCAGATCTCGCTTTTCGGCCCACATTGGGAGTTCTGGGGTTACCAGCAAAGGTAAGCCTGGGTTGGGAAGGCTCCCGGGAAGAAGCTCCTGCGCTGGTCTAGAAGACCACCAGTCGGCACTGGGCAGAACTGGGGGAGGCAGGAGGGGGAGGGACGGTGAGGCTGGGTCCCTCGGGGAGTCTGGGGGCCTCGAATACCCGCCTGAGGACGGTGGTCTAGTCTCTTTAGAAGTCTGGGGGCCAAGCAGAAGTGCAGTGCAACGCTGATGTTTGGGGGCAAAGATAACCCGCAGAAGCCCACCTCGCTCATCACTTGCAAGAAGACGATGGCAGCTACCCTGCCGGGGCTAAGGACCGCTCCCTGCCTCCAGAACCCGCCTCGTCCCGCTCCCGCACCTGTCGTTTATTCTTCTACAGCCCAACAAATGCTTCATGGCAGAACTTCCTGGGCCTGTGTAGACACATACTCTCCTGTCACTACATGCGTGTGATTTGCCACACGTCTGACACGGACGAGCCAGTGTGTGTGTGTGTGTGTGTGTGTGTGTGTGTGTGTGTGTGTGTGTCTATTTGCTAATGTCTGGGTATCTTTTCTGGGCACCCGTGGGAATGGCAAACCTTGGGGTGCGCACAACTGTGTGTGGGCTCTGTAAGCAAGCGTTCGAGACTTCCAGCTCCATGGAGAAAAACAGCCCGGATTTAGGGTCTCGGTGCCAACCTGGGCCTGCGCACAGAGGTGGGTTTCCCAGGCCTGCCTTTGCCCTCCCCGCGGGATGTAGTGACCCTCGGGCCCGCACAAGTTCTGCAGCTCGGGGGAGAACGTGGGCCTCTGCGAAGCAGGCCCGCGGCTTCGGCCAACGCCGCCCCCCGCCGCCCGCCCCCAAGACCCGCCTCCAAGACCCGCCCGGCTAGTCTTATCTGCCCCGCCTACGCCCGCGGAAGGGGCGGCGCTCGCGGGCCGCGGACACTTGCTCTCCTCCCTGCTCAGCCAAGTCCGCGGTGTGGCGGCGGCCCCTGCATCTCTGGGCGCCCTCTAGCCGCTAAGCCCGGGAAATCTAGGTTGGGGCCGCAACCGTTCCCCAGGGCCCGCCCCTGAGTGCCTCTTCCAGGCTCCCTTCTCCGCCCGGCTCCGCCTGCCGCTCGTCAGCCCCCATTCCCTAGCGGCCTCGCCCCCGCCCCGCGTCCCCCGCCACTCCAGGTGCCCCCGGCCCTGAAGCTCAGAATCCAGGTCAATGCGGCGACCTCCAGATCGGCCAGACCCCGCTCCAGCCAACAACCCCGTCCCACCCCGGTCCCCCCGCCGCCGAAGGCCACCCGATCCCCGCACCTTGAGGCGCGCATGGGCTTCGGCGGCGGGCAGCAGGCGGTGGCCCCGGTGCGAACCGAGCGAGGCGCAGACGCCGCACACGAGCGCTCGGTCCTGCTCGCAGTAGATGCTGAGCGGGTCGAGGTGCTCCTCGCAGTGGCCCTGCGGCACCTGCGCCAGGCCCTCCACCAGGCGCGCCAGCTGCAGGTTGGTGCTGAGCGCCTGCGGCCGCGTGAGTGCCTGGCAGCTCGGGCAGGGCACCGTGCCGTCCGCCGCCGGCTCCCCAGCCACGCGGCTCAGGCAGGCGCGGCAGAAGCTGTGGCCGCACTCGGCCGTCACTGGCGCGTCAAACAGCTGCAGGCAGAGCGGGCAGGACAGCTCCTGGTGCAGGAGGCCCGGCGCAGCCGACATGACGGACCTGAGTAGAGGAGGGCTCAGTCAGGGAGGCTCAGCGGAGCCGCGAACCAGGCCCGGCCCCAGACCCAGACAGGGAGGATTCCCCAGCCTATAAAGACCTCACGTCTCGTACAGAACAGGCCTCTGGTTCTGGCCAACGGGGAAGGGGGGACTCGGTTTTGAGCCCAAAAGCAGTCTCAGTTGCATTTCTCAGCCCCAGCCCCCAAAATAGCCACTAACAGGGACCTTGTCTCAAGCCCAGGCCCTAAACAGGAGTCCAGGTTGCCGTCCTTCCCCGGTCTTAGGCCCAGGCCTCAGCCCCTGCCCCAAATTCCGCAGAGCCCCCACCGCCTACCCTCCTACCTCTCCGGGAGCCCCAGGCCTCCCCTCCCCCATATCTCCAGGCCCACAAGACCCACAGGACTCACAGGTCTGGACGGAGATCTTGGGCGAAAAGAGACTCCCAGGAGGCCCACTCAAGGTCAGGCCTAACCTTAGGTGGGTGTCAGAGTTGTGTCTGGAGACAGGCAAAGGGCAAGCAGCAAGCTCAGAGCAAGGACAGGGGACCCACAGGCACAGCTGGGAGAGAACACCGCGGGTGAGGACACGCAGTGAATCGCAGACAGACCCTCCCAGACTGAGTCCTGGCCCCAGGACTATTTTTAGTTGTCCTGCCCACCCCATTCCATCACTTCTGGAAACCGTTCTAAAAGTGAGGACGGAGTGGTCAGCGGACAAGCATCACATGTCAAGGCCACCTGTCCCGGTCCATCCACTGGCCCCTCCCTGGCTCAGCCTGGAGCCAGAAATTACAAAAGCAGGGAGATGGGGCCTCTCATACCACAGAAAAGACAGAAACACGTTTGGGAGGAGTCTCTCCTTTCCCCCCCACCCCCCCCATTCCACACTCTCCAGCCTCCCCTGTCCCTGCCTGTGGCCCCTCTCCAGTTTGTCACCCACTTAATTCCCCAAGTTTATAGCTCTCCGAGATCACAGTGACCGTATGAGCTCCATCTGCAGGAGGACAGGACCTCAGACTACCCTGAAAGATCTTCTTCCTCCAGAGGTGAGGGGAAGGTCTTTTCCCTGCCGGTCTCTCCAGTGCCCAGCACAGGCCCTGGGGCAGAGTGGGCCTCCCTAAGTGCTTGGGAAATGATTGATAGAGGGACAGTTGGATAAATGAAGGAACTGAATCCACAGCCTGCAGCCCAGAAGTTGATTCTGTCCCGAGAGCTTTGGGCTTTTACATGCTTAGCCTTCAAAACTCAGTTTAAATTGCATTCAGAATGAAAACCAGAGTCCTCACTGTGGCCTACAAGGACCTACTGAAGCTGATCTCATTCTTCTCTCTACCTTCCCCACCTGCTCACTCCAGCCTTGGCCTTTGGGCTTGCTGGCCCCTCGGCCTGGAACACTCTCTCGGACATGGTTTCCATCCTACTCTCAGTGAGGCTTTGCCTAACTCCGCGATTTTAAATCTCATATCTCCCTCCCGCCGCTCTGTTTTTCCCTGTAACATTCATTACCATCTGACAAGCAAAATTTTACTTACTGGTTTTTTCGACCGATTCCTCCTACCAGAATATGAATTTTGTACCCTGCTTGTCTCCAATTTAGAATAAAGCGTGTGCACACTGCAGGTGCTCAATAAATACTCAGTGGATGAATAAACACACAGATTCACCGGACCCTTCTCTTTTGGCCTCTCAGCCACACTTTCTCTCAGCCTTTCCCTGGATTTGTCCGGTCTTAATCTGAGTTTCTGCTTATGTTTCAGTTTTATCTCCCCCTTTGGACTCTCTTTTTGCCTCTCTCTTGAGTTTTTAATGTTCGTTTTTATTAATTTTATCCCAGATGTGCACATGAGGTGTTCTGGATCAGAGACAGACTTACTAAATCTCTCCGAGGAAATAGTAAATGTCTGGCTCCCTGTGCCCTAGGATGATGGGATGAGAGCCAAGTTAACTGGCCCATGACGGTAGCCAGACACCCTAGATAGGAGCAACAAGGAAGAATTCCTTTCCCTGATTATTAAGGAGGAGAAAGCAACTGCCCCTCTCCCCTGCTTAAAGATCTTCTTACTCCAACTCTTCGGCAAGTAAATAAATCTCCCCAGGAGCCAGATAGCTCCCTACACATCTCCGCTCAAGTCTTTGGTTTTATTATTTTTTTTTAATTTCACAAATATATTTTATTTAACCAAGTGGAGCCAAAATATTATCATTTGACATGTAACCAATATGAAAATTATTAATGTGGGGCATCTGACTGGCTCAGTCGGTAGACCATGCAATTCCTGATCTCGGGGTCATGAATTCAAGCCCCATGCTGGGCGTAGAGCTTACTTAAATTATTAACGAAATATTTTACATTCCTCTTTTCATACTAAGTCTTTGAAAGCGGGTGTGTATATTACACTGAGGGCACATCTCATTTCAGACGCCTCATTTCAATTGCTCAAGAGCCACATGTTTATAGTAGTTATCAAATGGGACAGCACAGTTCTATAATCTCCATGATCTTAGATTAATATTAAAGATTGTCTTATTAAGCCTTGTTGATTAAATATAGATTTGCTCTCATGTGCTTGATCAAAATCCTAGGAAAATGCAGAATTTGGGGTGGTGGAAGAACTCAGTTATTTTAAGCAGAGTATTCTTGTATTTATATAAAAAAGTTATATTTATGAACTGAACCTCCCATTCTTTTTTTTTTTTTCTGGTACCTTCTCCAACCCTCCCTCCCAACCCATGCTTGCTTTTCGTTTTGTCTTGGTTTGGTTTGGTTTGGTTTTTTGTTGTTGTTGTTGTTAACATATAATGTATTATTTGTTTCAGGGGTACAGGTCTGTGATTCATCAGTCTTACACAATTCACAGCGCTCACAACACATACCCTCCCCATGTCCATCACCCAGCCACCCCATCCCTCCCACCCCCTCCCATTCCTTTTAATAGTTTGTTAAATCCCAAAGCAATATCCAGATAAACAATGAGTTGCATCTCAAAAAAATAAGTAAACCCTAAATATTACAAGCCTTTGGACTTGTCTCCAAGTTCTGCGGCTCATTTCTTCTAAAACACTTGAAGCTCTTCCATGTTGCATCCTGGCCCACTTAGGAAGCTGCCCCAGGCTTCCTGGCACCTTTGGGCTTAACCTAGGAACCTTGTACAGGCTATCATCATTTAGGCCTCTCAGGAAGAGATGTTTTATTATTCTTTTGGATCAGAGCAATTGACTACACAAATGACTACAGCATTGAAGTCTCAGGAAGGGGCGCCTGGGTGGCTCAGTCGTTAAGCGTCTGCCTTTGGCTCAGGTCATGATCCCAGGGTCCTGGGATCAAGCCCCACATCGGGCTCCCTGCTCGGCGGGAGGCCTGCGTCTCTCTCCCCCACTCCCCCTGCTTGTGTTCCCTCTCTCACTGTGTCTCTCTCTGTCAAATAAATAAATAAAATCTTTAAAAAAAAAAAAAAAGGAAAGAAAAGTCTCAGGAAGCTACTAAGGCTTTTTACCAGAACCCTGAGAAACCCAGGGAAGTTGGATTTCCCCAAACAGGAGGGTGTGAGGATGAGAGCATATCTGGAGCTGGTCTCTGAAACCACAAACCACTTTACTTCCACTCAAAAAGTCATCATCCTGAATGTCAATCTCACCTGGAGTTTCCATCACTGCCAGGCTGAGGCTGAAGATTTTGGTCAATAAGAGTGGATGCTCAGGACAAGGAGGTGACAGTCAATTCAA